ATTAATCAAATACATAATTATAGAATATTTCATTGTCCATAATATGAATTTTTTGCTTTGGATTGATATTTTTCGATAAGAGTTTTAAACCAATGGAAGGAAACAAGTAAGAAAAAAATATATGAGAATTCCCTTACTCTTCGAGTCCCAATTATGAATTTGTCATTCGTAATTCGTCATTTACATATCACATCTTAAGTATGTGTTTATAAATTGTTTTCTTTCCTATCTTACTATCTCTAAGTAATTGTTGATGTGTAATGTATTAGTACTTAATTAACGGTTTATTAATCAAAATTATATTATTCTTATGATGATATAAAATTTTAGAGTTCTAAAAAGTGTAAAGCGTGGTTAGGCATGGAAACGAAGTTTCAAGCTTTATGAGTCTAAGTGACGCCTAAGCGTACAAAAACTTTTTCTTATTTTTATATTATTTAAAAAATTTAATCATTTTAAAAATTATTTAATAATTAAAATTATACATATAAAACATCTAAAATTATAAAATACTACATTTACTTAATAATTTCTATAATTAGTCAATTGTACAATTTTCAAGTTTTCGAAATGCAAAAACTAGACTATTTTTTATAGTTTCAATTTTCAACTAGACAAGTCATATTTAATAAATTTATAGAAATTTCATGCATGCTTTCGAAGTTTTCAATAAAATAATGAGTCTCAAGATCGTAATTACATATGTAAATAGCTCTGTAGTTTAATCTTATTTAACTCTTTATTGAATAAAGCCATTTTTAATATTTGTACAGATAAAGTCTTTTAAAAACATAAAATTAAAATCAAATGAAAAGTTTTTAAAAAAATAAAAAAATTAATAAACTAAAGTCAAATAAAAGACTTTTTAAAAAATAAAAAAAAATTAATAAAGCGCTTTAGGGAAGACGAAAGAAAGGAAGAAAAAAAATTCTGTTGTTTAGGAATAAAAAAAAAAGTGCCTAGGCATGAAGTTAGGTGTTTTGCATGAGATTCGAGATTAGGTGCCGCCTAGGCGAGCTTTTTAAAACAGTAGAAAATCCAAATGTGGCCTCTTTTAATTGATATGATGGCAATCTTCTTTATATGGCACAACAACTAATCGATATATTTTTTATTTTTATTTTTTGTTTATGATGAACTTTTCGGTAGTGCGAATTGTGTGAAGATTTATTATATTGGATAATTAACTTTGAGTTTATTTTCTTGGGGTTTGTTTTACAATTGACAATAATTGTGGATTTAAGATGAATCAAATTTAAAGTTGATGATGTACTTATATATCATTGGAAGTTATATTAGCAAATGTTATATTAGTTGGAAGATGAGGGACTTCCATTGCAAATTTGAGTTAGTGCTCCACTAACATGGTCATTTAAACTCATTTCTCATTTGCCATATACGCACAGTAGGCTAAGGAAACAAACAGCGGCTGAAACGGTGGGAATCAGAGAAAGAAAGAAAAAAGGAAAAAGGAAAGAGAGGAAAAAGGAAGAGAAAAGGAAAAAGAAGGAAGAAAGTTACGTGCCCGCAACTAGAAATTTGAGTTCAAGTTCATTTTTTCAATGGGTAAAGAAATAATTTTTTTATGGAATGGTTATGTTAAATTTTTAGGGTTCTAAGTTGTTGGTTTAATTTTTAGATTTAGGGGAAGGAGTATAATTTCTTGCTCAAGCTGCTTTATTGATAAATTTTCATTTGAATCAAGGTAAGAAATTCTTGCAAATCCTAAAATTTTTAATTGGATTATCGAATAAAAATAGTTTGTGAGAATGTTAAGTGATGGAATTGCTCACATGAATGCACGAATTTATGGAACAAGATGAAATTTAAATTGGTTGAGTTGTTGGTTGCTAGTCTTAACTGGGTTGGAAGGTATGATTATTTCTATGATTGGGATGAAGGTAAATTTGGATGTAGTATATATTGTTGAAGGTATTAGAAAGTAGAATTAGTTCCAATTGATTAAAAAAATCTGGAATTTTGTTCAAGTATCGAAACATCTAGCCACTGTTTGATTCACATTATTTTTTTTCATTCTCATTCTTCTACTCATTTCAACCGTCCATTCTTCAATAAAATAATATTTTTCATCACATCAATAACTTTTCCTTCTTTTTCAACCACACATTCTCTATCAATATACTATTCCAGAATGCATTCTTCCAAAATAATATGGTTCAAACAAGTATCCCATCCTTAAATATTAAGGTTTCTTCATTTGGTAGTGATTAAATTGATTATTGTTTAGTAGGTTTTAGTCCACATTACAAGGGAAACTTTGTCAAAAATTTTATAAAAATATGTCGTAGTCAAAACAGGTCAAAGTTGTCTTGGTGATGGATCCGACACTTAGCTAGTATCTACTATCAGCGCACGCCATGGTCAGGTCCACTAGGATGATTGGGAATGGATCGTGTCAAATATAGCATAACTCAACAACTAGGACTGTATAATTCTTGACATTATAAAAACATGGATTAAAAGTTTGAGTGGAAAGTTGTTCGCTTAGCTCATCATACATGAATTAATATTCTCAGTTGATGAGAAAAGTTGAATTTTTTGTTTGCATTGTCTCAATAGGCACATGTGCAATGTGGAATAGAGTTATATTTTATGGAGGTTTATCTTGGAAGGTTACATGAGGAGGGGGGATTTTGAAAATGGAATAGTACATATTACCATGAAGAACGTGGTGATGACATATAATATTCCGCAATAACAAAGATTCATCATACAGAAAGATACAACGAGAACTACCTTTTGAATGTATGTCATACTATTTTAGATTTTCTACATTTTTTATCCCCAATGCTTGTACCAATGTTACTACCCATAAACCTTTTTTACATTTGACATCCTCAATAAGATATTTAATAATTATTATTGCTTTTAAACATTAAATCAATAAATTTCCACTAAGCATAATTATTGCAAATTATTAGTCACAATTAATAAAAACATTATTACGTACAATTAAAAGATACTATAATAATACTACACACATATATAATTAACTTGAAATGACATATTTTATTAAGTCGATTAATATTAATATATAGAATTTATTAAAAAATAAAATTACTTACACAATTAATTTTTTTCATACCTAATATTACATATCAAAAATAATATTGCATTCCTAAAAAATAATTAATATAATCCTTAATTGCAATCTTTAAATCTTTTATTAGTCAATACATAATTATAGAACATTTCATTGTCCATAATATAAATTTTTTGCTTTGAATTGATATTTTTCGATAAGAGTTTTAGACTAATGGAAGGAAACAA